TATATACACATGTTTTTTTTCTCTGATTTACTTGATTTTGAAGTGTGAAATTCAAAGTCTGAAGTTAGTCTTTTTAACCTTGAATTACACATGCAGATGGCCCGTACCAAGCAAACTGCTCGTAAGTCCACTGGAGGAAAGGCTCCTAGGAAGCAACTTGCCACTAAGGTCCTGAACTCTATTTTGTTTTATACTGTCTCCACACACACACATACACACACACGCGCGCACACACATATTTAAATCTGAAGTTACAATATTCATTGTTAGTGCATTCTAATGCTTTACTTGTTCGTGTTGCAGGCTGCACGGAAGTCTGCCCCAACCACTGGAGGAGTTAAGAAGCCTCATCGTTACAGGCCTGGAACTGTTGCTCTGCGGTGAGTTAACATTTGCTTCTTCTATATGAGATAATGTTTTATATTTATGCCAATTGCTGATAAACTTGTGTATCTGTAAACAGTGAAATCCGCAAATACCAAAAGAGCACTGAGCTCCTGATCAGGAAACTGCCTTTCCAGAGGCTTGTTCGTGAAATTGCCCAGGACTTCAAGGTGAATATGAAACTGAATTTGCACACACCTGAATTTGTTTGCATTTTTTTTTCTTTTTTTTTTGGTTTATGTCTTTTCTGACGGGTTGCTTTTGTGTATTTGGTTGTAGACTGATCTCCGTTTTCAGAGCCATGCTGTTTTGGCACTCCAGGAGGCTGCCGAGGCTTATCTTGTTGGTCTGTTTGAGGACACCAACTTGTGTGCCATCCATGCCAAGCGTGTTACCATAATGCCTAAAGATATCCAGCTGGCTCGCAGGATTAGGGGCGAGCGTGCTTAAACGTGCCTCGTGGTTGTTTTGGGATCTTATATGATGAAGTTCAGTATGCTGTAGGTATTGAAACTCAAGTCCTAGTCCTTTGATTTTCAGACTCTTTTGGTTTGTCATCATGTTTTGGGATTTACTGGTAATCTTTTGGATGGCTTTTCACCTTTTGTATGTTGTCTTTGTGAATGCTTCCTCAAGTTTCTGTTTGAAGATGGTTAACAGAATTCTGGTTTGATTCTAGTTGTTAGTTTGATTTGGTTATAGTTATATTGTTCTATTGCTTCTTTTACTTTAGTAGGCACATGTTTTATATCTGTTTTTCTCAGTCTGAACTACATTTTACTTGATTTTAGCTCGTCTTTTCTATTGTAGACTGATACCTGGTTTTGTTTAGTATTTAAGGAGTTTGGTGGCTTCAAAATTGGGTGACTTGTAATAATTATTATTATTAGCCTACTTTTAATATTAATATTAAATATAAATTTACCTGTTAATTTGGTAAAGCCTGCGAACATGGAGTAAGTGATAGCAATATGATCCATAGGCTCATAGCATTGTGGTGGTGTTAAAATTCCCCGGTTTGTAGTTTGTACGCATGCATTTGTGACCTATTAGATCCCAACCCTCGAATGCGTTTAATTCAAAGGAGGGAAAAACGGGGTGAGGAGGAATTCAAGCTCTTATTACTTATTAGCTCGCTAAAATGAAAAAACTTCAAACGGTCCCGTAAACCAAATCCTCTACTGAGTCAATCCAATATTTAGTTCACCTTAGGCACCTCAACTGGCCACCCCTCGAAACAATTACTTCTTGTTCGTAGGCTTTTTCCATCCGAATGATTGCTTAAGTATAACTCTAGATCTTATCATAGTTTTAGTCGAGCAAGAAACAATCAAGTTTGTTTCATGCTTTTGCTTTTGTTTATTGAGATTGAGATAAAACTCCATCATGTTCAAATAACTGACAGCACTGATTGTACAATGCTGAGATTTTTGGCCTTCTCTATCTTCCATATCAAAGATTAAAGACGGAAGGGAATGTTGAATAAACAAATGTAGATCATATTACCCTAACATGATGAGTATCCGGATATGATAAAAACATGTCAACAACCTTCATTTAAAAAATGGGATCAGTGAGAAATTGAAGTTCATTTAATCATGTCAATTTTAAAAAATGTGTGCAACTTTTACAATAAAAAATCGTGTGATTTTTTTTTTTAAAAAATTTGAATGCATCGATTTTTTTGGATTCTTATATTTATTTTTAACCATGTATTACCGATATTTTTAATCCATATCATTTTTTTTTTATGTTCACATCAACTTTTTAGGAAAGAATCAATTGCATAAATCTTAATATTAATTTTTTATTAGAATTCATTTCAATTCTAATAAATCGGTGCAACGTTAGAAAATTATGTTGCTTTTTTTAGGAAAGAATCATCCTTTCACTTTATTTTAACCAAATATCCAGATTAATTTTATTGTTAAAAAAATTGGAGTATTGGTAAGAAAAAGTTTGGTTCTATTTTTAGGAAAATTTAATGATTCTTTTAAATTTTTCTTAATCAAAATTTTGAATTAGATTTTTTTAAAATCAAGCTTGAAAATCACTAAAGTTATCTACTTTTTTTTTTTCTACTAGAATTTTGTTTAATAAATAAGATACCTTAATTTAAAAAAAAAAACGTAATTTGTTAGCTAATAACTAATAATACGCAATTATAGATAAAATTCGAACACACATGTAGTATTTTACGTGGTAAATAATCAAACCAAGAATGTTGTACATAAAGAAGTGCTCAATAATATTAATTTCATTTTCATGATATTTCATGATGTAAATATAAAAATACGTTTTAAAAAACAAGTAGGTAATCAATGTTGTACTAGTTGATATGAAAATCACACGGCCGTATATCTTGGCCTCTGGCTGCACCACCGACTTTCCTATAGGGGTACTTTTTATTCTTTTATTTATGGGCTAAAATGTGGAATATTCTTTATTGCCTTTATTGTCTTATGACCAATACTGTAAGCTAGGAAAGATTAAAGTAGTGTATTAAACAGGTAAAGAATGGCATACACAAGAAACTGCATCAAGTGGCCTAGTGGCTAGTATTATGATCCATGAACATCAAGGGACAAGACAACCATATTCAAACATCCAAAAGACAATCCAGAGCATGAATGGCACACACAAGAAATCATTTGTTTTTCTTAAAGACAAATCAATATAAATTATATAACCAAACTTCAGCTCAGACATCATTAGTGTTCCATAAAATGCGACAGAAGTTGAAAAATCAAGCTAAGAGAAGCATTTCCTTTCTGTTTTTTCTCCCTTTTTAAACGCAGACTCTAAAATAGAGACAGCAGTAGAACACTCGAAATACACTAATCCGGAAATGAGTTACTCGTTATCAGGCTTTGGTGCCTCCTTGTTCTCTTCGGAAATGTCATCCTGTACCAAAGACGAGTAAAGATTATTTAGCAATCATCGAACGGTAACTACTTTGCATGAGAAGAAAAGAAGAAGCCTTTACCTGCATGTCTGAAGTCCACAAAGTAAGGTTGTCACGTAGAAGCTGCATGATTAGAGTGCTATCCTTGTATGAATCCTCTCCCAGAGTGTCCAGCTCTGCAATGGCCTCATCAAAAGCCTAAAACAGTACGAGCAAACATTAGCACAAACCAATTAACAACAAATTAGAAGCTCATATTTAGCAAGTGTTTGCAAACACTTTCTCTACTCGAGGAAAAAAAAAACCCACTACAGATGGCCATGGTAGTCGCGGCATCAGAAATATCTAGTGCTTCCTTTTCCGGTTAAATGAGGCAGAATTTCAGTTTTCTCAATTTTTCCCACATAATCAAATTAAATTAAGAAAGATGTCAACCACCATTCTCAAACCATAACAAGAATAAACAGAATCTCCCACAAGATACTGAGGATATATATTCCAACTAACACGCATAGAGAAAATAATATTGGTTAATTCTATTAATCAGACCTGTTTAGCAAGATTACAAGCTCGGTCGGGAGAATTCAAAATCTCGTAGTAGAAGACTGAGAAGTTGAGTGCCAGTCCAAGCCGGATAGGATGTGTAGGAGCCAACTCAGCATTAGCAATGTCCTACAGTCACCAAAAATAAAACCCGTTCAGCCAAAAGGAGTCGTATTCAAGACATCAAATTCACTACATGCATCAATACTTCAATTTATACATCAGGTGAAATTCTCTGGCACTACATGAGCAAGGACTGAATTGAGAAGTTTTTCACTCTAAATATAAATTAAGCCCACCAAGATAAAAGCATACTACAAAAGCTCTAAGGGTACAAATATAAAAGTAGCATTTGCATCAGTCATCACCATCCTACTTAAAGTATTTTAATACTCTAAAAGTAAATAATATATATCAATATAAAGGGGAAAAAAAAAAAAGAACAGTAGTTCAAATTTGAAGTCACATATCAACGGATAAATCACATTGTCTGATGAACCACCTAAAGAAAGCAAAAGACAACGTAGTTCCACGAATTGATTCAAAAACAGAAACTATTCTTCAAAGTTGATAGCAGTTTCGAAATCAATCATCAATAGAACACTAGGGCAACTAAAATTTCTCAGATCCGGCAATTGATCACATACTACAGTCCCCACAAGTAAGACAAAAATCATAAAGGACCATAACGAGATAGACAGAAAAAAGAATTAATCAAACATGAAGTCCTAACCTGAGCAGACTTGTAGGCAGAGAGCGTGTTTTCAGCTGCATCCTTGCGCTCAGATCCCGTCTTGAACTCCGCCAGGTAGCGGTAGTAGTCACCCTTCATTTTCAAGTAGAAGACCTTGGAATCGCCGTTGGCTGCGGATCCGATGAGCTTCGAGTCGAGGAGCTTGAGAATGCCGTCGCAGATGGAGGACAGCTCGGCCTCGATCTTAGATCTGTAGCCTTTGATGGCGGAGACGTGGGCCTCGTTGCCTCGGCTCTCCTCCTTCTGCTCGATGGAGGAGATTATCCGCCAGGAGGCACGGCGGGCGCCGATGACGTTCTTGTAGGCGACGGAGAGGAGGTTGCGCTCCTCGACGGAGAGCTCGTCGCCGTCGACGGCACCGACGACCTTCTCCATGAACTCGACCATCTCCTCGTAGCGCTCGGCCTGCTCGGCGAGCTTGGCCATGTACACATACTCCTCGCGTGGGGACGCCATTAGATTTGCTGGTTGAGAATGAGAGTGTGATAGTGAGAGTGAGACTTGAAAATTGTGGATCTGTGATGGAGCTATTTTGGGAGTCTGATGGATTTACTATTTGTTAATTAATTTCGATTTAATTCGTTGCATCTTTTTTTTTTATTAATATAATTTCAAAATTTTTGGGCCTGATGGACTGAGTTGTTTGAATCGTAAGAAGAAGCGCACTAATCAAATACACATGAATTTGCGGAGATATTAGGCAATTTAGGCTCATTATATTGTATCTTTTCCTAAAAAATTGTAAATATACTTAAATGAAAAATTATTAGAGAATTAATAGATAATAAAAAGAAGCATTACATGATAAGCAACTGACATAATTATTAGAATCCATACATTCCATAATTAAGAAAAACAAATTGATATTACATGGAAAGTACAATCTCAAGAATAGAACCCTAAAAATAGCATTTTGATATTTAAATTTGAAAACACTAAAATTTGAAATTTTAATTCATATTATTTTTCTGATTCGAGTTTGCCGACTATAAACGCAGCAAATTCGAAAATTGTGTATAGATATATGTTATGTAAATAGTCACATGTTGTAAACTAAGTATATACCAACGTAAGACCTATTTTGTATTTTCTATTTTCATAAGTCTACGTCTAAGATTGTAACAACCATCAAATAAAACTTCTTTTATTTTCCTCATCTTCTACTAATTTAAAAAAAAATTATATATATATATATATGTTATATAATTAATTATAGGTTATAAGACAAGTATAAACCAAATTTCTGATTAAGCAAAAACAAATTATAATCTAATATGTATATGTTTTTTTATATTATGAAGAGCGCTTATATAGTGTTTTACATATCAATATTGTATAGATCGTTGGTATAAAATTAAGTATAAAATATAAACAAAATTCAAATTCACATTTGTGGTTAAAAATATTATGTAAATAAAATCGCAAGGTACACTGAAAATATACTGACTATAAAAGCAACATATACTGAAAATATTCTGATGCCCGTCTTGCAAAAGATTTTGACATATGTCGTTAAGCCTTNGACATCCTCGTCGAGTTTTATTTCCTTAGTGTCATATTCTTCGTCTTCAACAAAATCAGAATCTTGGTTGTGGGCTTATTTATCGAACAAGGTGGAATTTTTTTTTCCACCGTGATTGCTTCTTTGCCTGTGGAATTTCATCGATGTCGCTGAAAGGAGTTGCAACGGTCGTTTCGTCGTCACCTTTATTGCATTTTTTGGAGCTATTCATTATCAATTTCTAACAGCAAGAGTTAGGTCAGATGAGTGAGGGGAGCCTTTAGGGAGTGAAAAAGTCGGTTTGAACAGAATAAGATGGACCGGATGCTTGTTGATTGTCGATTTCGAACAACTTGAGTTGGGTCGAGTGAATGTTGAGATGCCTTATGAGTGAAAATTCGTTCAATTTGAATAGCACGTGTTGGCTCAGTCGCTCGTTGTAGAAGTAGCACTATTTGGGACAGTCCGAGATTTGGACTATCCCAATACTTGCCCGCTTTTATAAACCAATTTAAAAAGTTTTGGGACAAGACATTGTCCCAAATAGATCGGTATTCATTCGAGACCGGAGCAAACTGGATCAGTATCATTGTCAAGTTGGAAAAACGAATACTCATTTTCTGTACAGGAAAAATCATTTTCTGTTTACCCGTTGATGCTCGATTTCAAACAATGCGAGCTAGGTTGGTGAGTGCTTCATTTATTTCGAAATCTCGTGTTTTGAAGGTGTAACTGTTGTTTTGTACAACTCGAGCTACGCTAAGTGAATGTTCTTCCTGAAATTTGATTTTGTATAGCTCGTGTTGGGTCGGACAAATATTTTTGAGTTCTTCATTATAAATCTGGTTTTAAATAGTGCGAGTCGGGTAGGTCGCTTGTTGACTTGAACGATGTAGCTTGTTCAGATGAGAGTTTGAACTATTTTCAAAATGTGGCTTGTGAGTGTTAGGATTAAATAAAAATTGTATCTTGTTTATAATTTGACCTTGAACAAGATGAAATGGACCAACTGGTGTTGATAGGTTTTTATCAAGATGTAGCGCATTCGGTTGAATTAAATGTATTGGATTGTGATGGATCATGAATGACACTTTTCTCATTTTTGTTTCTTAGCTCGCTTGCGACACCAGAGTGGGAATACTAAATGATATGGAATCTAAAATAGCCCGGTTTGTCCGTGTTTTTGCCCAGGTTCAGCGGTATCAAATAATTAAATTATCTTGAAGATTTTGGTTTTTATTTATTGAATATTCCAAAGGTTTAAAGAGAAGATTCAATTTTATTTAAATATCTATTCTTGGATTCTATATTATTATATTCTATGAAAAATTTATCTTGGGGGAACAAGTTATTAATCCCTTATAGATAAGAGACCCATGTTCACTTGCTAACACAATTTCTCAATCTATCTTGATTACGAAATATTACTATGGATTTTTTGTGTCTGAATTGAGTGTCAGAGTGTCTATGTGGGAGCTTTCCCACGTTATTACAGGATGATCGGATCGAGACGTTTCGAATCAAAAACGTTAGAAACGAGTCAAAACATTCGAAATGAGAACGTTTGAAGTGAGTCGGTTCAATTGAAAATCTTGGAACTGCACATCACATGTGATGCTAAAACTCTTCGAAAACAATTATCTACTCCTAGCCTAATCATTTATAACAACCAATGGATGTAATAATTCTTCTCCCATACCTCCTAGTTCTTTTGGAGAAAAAACAAAATACCTCCTAGTTCTTAGTATTAAATCCTACCCAAATGTATGTTGCCAAATAGCCAATGAGTTATATACAAGTAGCTGTCATCCTTATCAAGAATTTGATGATTAGATAGGCTAGTCTATATATATATATAATTACTAGCTAATAGAATTTAATAAAACCTATTTAATTTTACCTATGTGGCAATTTAATAATTTTTCCTCCAAATATTATTACATTTTGATGTATTTAATCTTTCATTTAATCATTAAATAATTAATACTCATCACTTCAAAATTACAAAAATCATTTTAAACTTTTGATTAATGACAGTTGACCATATAATGTGATTAGATGTCATTATTGTTGTTACATTTAATTTTTTTTTTAAATAAAAAATATATTTAAAATTCCTAAATAAATAATAAATAATTCACAAATAAAAGACGTACCAAAATATATATTACATCCAATCAGATAAACGCAATTTAAAAAAAAAAATTTCAACTCTTTTAATTGTAAATTTGGTCTGTAAAAAAGTGAAAGAAAAATAATTAATCATTATATGTACAGACTCACAATAATTTATTTATATCTGTGCAAATACACAGGTCGAATACTAGTTGATCATCACCACCAACCTAAATTGATGAATTCCCACATGTGACTTTTTTAATTTACACACATGGTTGGTCGGTGGGTGATGTTCAAGTTGGGCCCGCGCACAATACAATGTATAATTATGGCTGATGTTTTTTGAAATTTATTGCAATATTTAAGATATAGTTATTGTAACATAATGAGGCCATCATAGACTGCTAATTTTATGTAAGGGACATAAAATCAAAGCAAACAATTTCAATGGAAAATTCTGTTCTATGCATAATAGGGATAATGAAGTTCCATTTCACTTGATTATAAGTCTTAATAAATTTCATCTTCAACCTTATTAATTATTATTATTCACTTGATCATTGTTACATATTATAATATTTTAAAATGAACGAGTTCTAGGATTGGATTCGATTCGATATCCAAACTGAATCTATTATTACCAAATCGAAACAAAATGTTCGATAATTCCATACATGGCAGCTGAAACTGAATCGAATTTAAGTTGATTGTTTAACTATCAGTTACCCAAAAAATTATTCAACTAATAGCGATAATAACAAAATTTACATCCTATAAACCATGAGTTTAGCTTCCAAAAAGTAGGAAATTAAAATTCCAGCAGAAAGTATAACAAAGTTACTTAAAACAAAAAGAAAAACAAAGAGAACGAATTCTAATGTTTTTGCACGTACAAGGAGAGAGTGATTGTGATATAAGGAGAGGTGGATAATAAATTTAATGTTACCGCGCGTACGCAGTGAAAATACGAAAAATTTTAACCTCTAATTGTGAATTTTAATGTATGCCTGTGTAGAAAGAAAGTGAATGAGGAGTGAGGGCTTCTATGTAATTGTGTTCATCCATCTATACAATAAAGTGAATGAGGAGTGAGGGCTTCTATGTAATTGTGTTCATCCATCTATACAATAAAGGGAAAATTGGTTCAGTACCATTAAAAGATTGAATCTTTAGAAAACTACCATCCAAAGATTGAGCTGTTGAAAAATACCATTGAAAGCTTCCTCCGTTGTAGCTTTTTAGCACATCTGTTAACTCTACGTTAACTTATTGTTTTGAACAGCCTTCACACCTTATTCTAGCAGCAAATATGCTAAAAAAAACACCATCTAGACCAAATAAAAATATGCTAAAAAAACACCATCCAGACCAAATAAATGCAGCATATCTGCTGCTGCCTAGCACAAGCACCCAGGATATTTGACCTCTCATCAAGGTACACATATATATAATAGAAATTTTATCATGGTTTCTCCAGAAATTTCACATAGATATTTTAGCATGGTTTCTCCAAAAGCTTCAGCATGGTTTCTCCAGGAATTACATATATATATACAAGATCATGGTTCACATACTAAAGCACTAATATAGCTAGTTCATCTACTCAATGATGAGCCTCCGATTGATTCCACCAGGTGAGATTGCGGCCATCCTTCTAGTTGTTACACCTGGGCTAGTTGGAGAAAGAGATGACATCCTTCTAGTTGTTACTCCTGGGCTTAAATGTGGCGTTGGAGAGGGTTCAGTAGCAGCTTTGGAGGTCCCAGCATCAATTTTGGAGGCTCCAACGGCTTCAGATTTGTTTATCCTGAGAACTTGGATTAGTAAAACTTTCGATCACGTAAAAGAAACAAATATTACATAATATTACATTACCTTGGTTTTTTCCCTTTTTTCGGACGAGGTGGTGGAAGTTCTTGTTCTAATTCAGCTTGAGTAGCATTACAACCCTTCTCTATATGTCCAAACTGAAAACACCTTTTGCATTGGTATGGTCCTCTTTTTCCTGGCTCTCCTTTAGCCTTTATTCTTTGTTTCCTTGGTCTGCCAGCAGCCCTTTGTAGCGGTGGAGGAATCATTTCAAATCCAGGATCGACCTTTGGCCATTCAGACTTGTCATTCATTGGAGTGATCTGAAATTGATAAGTCATCTTGAATCTCTCTACAGAATAGTAATCATGTACAAAGTCCTCAATGTTTACTTGCCTCAGTTTCCCAAATAAGTATATAGCATGAGTGCATGGTTTTCCAGACACCTCCCATTGTCCACAACCACATTCTCTTTTGGCAAGGTCAACACTATACCTCCAAGGTTTCCCTTCCTTCGTTGTTCCTAAAATTTCAGCAGACATGGGACCACTTTTGTTGATGTCATAGTGCAGTCCTCGGCTCTTCATGTTAAGCTCATGTATCACACTAGGGAGGATGCGCCCTTGAAGTCTACTAGCTATCTCTTGCCTTGTGTAGATCTTCTCCATGATCTTCACTCTGATTGTATCCATTAGATCAACAACTGGAAGGTCTTTATAATCCTTAATCCAATTATTGAAGCTTTCAGATATGTTGTTGTTAACATAATCAACTTTGCATTCTTTGGAGAATTTAGATCTACTCCATATCTGCTTGTGATGGTTGTTTAAAAAGGGAATTGCTTTAGGACATTCAGCTGCAATTTTCTCTAACAATGCATCATGCCTTCGAGCTGTACATGCCCATGCACAAGGCCACATGTATTTCAGCACCTCACCTTTGAAATTCTTTCTAAAATTAGCCATTAGGTGTCTAAAACACTCACGGTGTTCTGCATCACCTTTGAACACTTTATTGACAGCATATGCTAATCCTTTGCACGCATCAGTATGTATTGTCAACCCAGCTGGAGTACCAATTGCTTTCTTCAGGTTTGCCATGAACCATGCCCAATTGGCATTTGTTTCCTTCCCAAAAATCCCATACGCAACTGGATACATCCAGTTGTGTCCATCAATTGCATTTGCTGCAGCCAATTGTCCATTATACTTTCCAGTCAAGTGAGTAGAATCGACACCAAGATATGGCCGGCACCCAGACAAAAAACCATCAACACATGCTCTAATGCACACAAACATTCTTGAGAAATGCATTTTGCCATCGATCTTCTTGCAATCAATCTCAACAATGCTTCCTGGGCAAGTTTCTTCTACAGCTGCTTTGAATCTCCATAACATTGTGAAACTATCCTCCCAAGTACCATGAATATCATCCATTGCTGATTTCTTCCCAGACCACACTTTAAAATATGACAACTCAATATTGTAATGCTTCTCCAATCTTCTTTGTAACTTCTTTGCGCTAAGGGTGGGATCTTCTACCATAATTTGTTTGGCTCTTTGAGATATCCAACATGTAGAAGCTTGATGGCCTTTCATAGTTGCTGAATTAGGACAAGTGTGATCATCCAATTCTGAGAGTTTCACCACCTGCAAATAAATAAGATTATAAGATTGCAAAAAATTTATCACTCTACAACGAATACTAGATGATAAGCTATAAAGAAAGAATACCATGAATGTGTCACAACCATGAAGTTTCTTTGCATAAATTCTCCAATCGCAGTTTGCATCTGCACACCTTGCCCTGTACCTCTCTGTGTCACTATGTTCAACCCTAGTGCCAAAGTCATTTTTTATGGCATATGTCCTCAAGGTCATGATGAACTCGTCCTTGTTTCCAAATGTATCTCTTTCTTTAATGACCGGATTCTCTTTGTCATGTGTTGTGAGAGGTGCAGCATAATCATCTATCATAGTAGCCTCATCATCATGAACACATTCTGAATCAAAGTCCAGAACAGACCTTGTCCTCTTTTTTTTCTGTACCACTACTTCAATATTTTCTGCAGGTTGTGCATCATTAACTGCAGCATCAACTGGTTTAAAGTATCTCCATTCTTCGTCTACTCCGGTTGGATCATCCCCACTAGGGTCACAGCCAACAGTCATGAAGTGCTCCTGCTCCTCCTCTTCAGGCATTGGTGGTCCTGCTGTGGTTTGTCCATATTGTGGTACTTCTGTCCATTCAAATCCCTTAATTTCCATCTTCTTCTCAACAACTGGCACTTCATTAGGCATACCCTCGGCATCCATATTCACTGCAGGAGGCATCTCATCCCTCTCCACACGACTGCCCAATATCATCACAAATTTCACCAACTGAGATGCCATTAGCAAGCTACGGAGCTGATCATCTGAAATTAACTTGCATGTCCAATGCATCCCTTTTACAACCCAGAAATATGCCTGCTGGTTGTTGTCCCATGTAAAGTGTGAAGCAATATCCTTCTCTAGATTACTAACTGAATATGTTTCTGAATCAACAACCCAGCCTACATCTCTGCCCCTATTGTAGATCTTTTTACCATTTATAATACTGAAGTATGAGTTCACAGTGACCTCTACTCTACAAGCATTCTTTGGATCAATCCTGTGATATGCAGCTCAAAACACATGGAACAAAGAGGAAAAAATAAGGTCCAATTCACAAAACAAACTGAGATTCATTTAGCCATGTGCACACACAAATCCGAGCAAAATAGATACAAATTGGAAGAATATATAGTGTCTCAAAGGAAATTACCCATTTGAAATTTTAGTAGCGTCCATCTTCTCTCAAATCCTCAATCCCTTGTCACAGTACTACAGAATCCCCAATACCTAGGGTTTAGACCATGAAAGAAGAACACAAGAACAATGCAGAATAGAGAAAATATAAGTAGAGAGAGGGAGGCACCATAGAGGAAGAGTATGAGAGTCGCCGCCGCTGCCGTTGTCGACGAGGGGAAGAGCGTCGCCGCCGACGAGAGGAGCGCCGCACGAGGTCGCGTGCTTGCGGCCAGGCACTCGTGCGAACAGCTGCGTGCGTTGGGCCAGGAAGCGTGTTTGTGTTTGGCCCAGCCAAGGCTGCGTGCGTTAGATCTGTTTTTTTATTCTTTTAACTAACGTTGAGTTAACGGAATGGTAAAAGTCTGCTAAAGACAAATTTTTTGATGGTAGCTTCCAACAGCTCAATCTTTCGATGGTACTTTTCTAAAGATCTAATCTTTTAATGGTAGTGAGCCAATTTTCCCTACAATAAAACATTTATTTAAAAAACAAATCAAACAACTTGAAAATGTAGATTGAGTCTGAACCGATTCATTTATGTTCGGTAACTTACCATCGATTAATGAAAAAAAAAAAAGGTATGGTTTTGATTTTTCTACCCGCAGAGCATTAGGCACTCGATCGGTAGATAGTATTCGACCTTGTGCATTTGTATAGTGTAAATATAATATTATAAGTTATATTTATGCATATAGTATTAAAATTATAAGTTATACAATGATATTATATTTTAAACATAAATAATTATAAGTTATATTTATGCATATAGTAATAAATTATAAATTAGATAATGATATTATATTTTAAAATTTGATCATTGGTTAAAATAAACAGTACATAACTATTTGATTGCATATGAACTACTATATTAGTTACATAAAATATAATAAATAATGTAATTTTGAGAGATCGTCAATTTATTAGCTTAAAAATATTAAATTTATTATAACATTTGATTATGTGATTTTAAAGAATTTTACTATAATATTAAAATAAATTAACTTATTTAAAAATACAATCGCTAAATAAGATAAGAAAAAAATATAATATTAATTAGAATAAACAACTTTAGCAAAAAGTGTACAATAATTTTTTACGTTTATGTAACTTTCATATATCATTTAGTGTAACTATAGTTATTAGTTTTAATAATAACTATTATATGATACAATAAAATAGTATAATTATTACTCAGTTAATATAAAATGTAACGGATGTTGTTTTAATTGACCCTAAAAAAAGTGCAATGAAATATTTTAGCATTAATTAGATATGGTGGATTAATAATAATAATAATAATAATAATAATAATAATAATAGTAGTAGTAGTAATAATAATAATAATAATAATAATAATAATAATAATAATAATAATAATAATAGTAATAATAATAATAATAATAGAAGATTGTAACATAGAAAGATAGTAAACAACAAATAATATTATTAAATTTATGGTTAGTAATTAAATATAGAGAGAGCGATATAAATGATAAAGTTTGTAACGGTTTTTTACGGGAAATCAAAATGAAGTTTTATTAAATGTTTTATTAAATACTATTAGCCAGTAATTATATATATATATATATATATATAGATTTCCATGTGAAAATTACAATTAACTTGTGGAAGAGAGTAACTTCCCTAAAATAAGTGACTTATGATTACAATTATTTTTATTCTAATTTTGTGGGAACATATGAACGAAAATTAGGTCCCAATGATGTTGCATTACTCCAACTTCCACGCAACATACGTCACAAAATTCTTATAAAATTAAACAAAAGATACACATAATAAGATGTTAGAAAACATAATTTGCATAATTGGAACTAGTGCGTGGCCCGTGCGATGCACGAGAAAATAATATTACGATTGTATTATAAATTAAATATATAAATAACATTAATCATGATTTATCCATTGATTTTAAATTAAAACGATTTGGACACAGTCCGACCGGATGGACCGAGAATCGGTTTATAACCAGTCTAGTACGCTTGAATAAAATATTTGCTCTCGAATCCGTAAACACCAGTCGGTTGTACTAATAGGATTGATACGATTTTCTAAATAAATTTTGTTATATTTAAAATTATTTTAAATAAAATTACATATTTAAATAAAATAGAGGTTTATAAATTATTTATCAATTATTTTAAATATTTGAATTTATAAATTGTTTAGATATCTAAGTAACACATTTTATTTAAATTTATTACAAAAAGTACTATATATATATATCTATTAAAATGTTTATAAATTAAAATCTGAACAAACCACAAATGATTTAATAAAATAGCTTGATCGTTTCGATGACGGTCCAGTTCTGAAAATCTTATATTTACTGTACATTAATAAATATTATAGTAAAATATTATTTAATTCACATAAATATTAATAAAATGATATATAAATATCCATAAATCAGTAAACATGTTGTCATAAAGGTATTGTTAATACGATTATTTGAAGTTTGGACTACATCACATTCACGTAATAAAATATTTTCAATATTATATTTAGGTTCAATAATTGATTTGATGTGGTCGAACTGATACATAATTTAGTCACTTGGGACCAATCAAGTTGTGTCAAGTTTTTTTACTATTTTAAATATTATCTAAAAGTAATCAATCAACCTGGGTAGTACCCTAGTTCAATCACCCGATTGATCCGAATGAATTTTCTTATTTTCTTTAAATATATTTACTTTTATGAAATAAAAATATTTTATGATTCATATAATAAATGTCTACACCAAACGATAGTATATTAAGATTATAAATTATATATCTAAAATTAAATTAATTATTTTTACTTTATGCATATTAATAAAAAATAAACATAGTAATTTTCAAAAAGTTAAGATTAATTGCTTGATTATGCAATTTAAAGAATATTTTTAGCGTCCAATATTTTTTTAAGGGCACAAATTAAAGACCGAGATTCTAAAACTTTTGTTATATTTTGAATTGAGATTTAATAATTATAGAGAACGAGATTTTAATGTTGTTCGTTGTTTCTAAGAAAAAAATAAAAATAAAAACATACACACTTAATAAATCTTGGCCGAATTTTTTAAATAATAAAATGAACTAAAGCTCAAAATTTAAGGTAGCATTTAATGTTGTATGATTTTTAAAGAAAAATACAAAAAAGTAATAAAACTTACTATTTATAGTTTGCATTAAATTCTGACCTATTTTTTGCTACTATTTTTGGTAAATAGTAATTCTTATTATATATATATAGATAAAGGATTTTTTATCCTACTTATTGGCACCATTTGAAAAATTGATTTTTAGAGCATCTCCAATGGAAAATGATCCATTTTGTGTTGTATGGCATGGAGAATGAAAACTAAAAAATTATGTCTTTAATGGTTGATGTTAATTGTGGTATCATTTGTGATGTGTAAAATTTTAATTGGTTGAAAAAAGATAAATAAATTAAATAAATATGCTAATATACAATGGAAGTTGTCTAGAAAGCCTTCTAAAATTTTTTCAAGCCACATAAAATTATTTGTGACATGTGGCAACAAAATAGAAAAATAGAATGACCATGGGATAATCCTATTTATTTCAGAACCTCACTTCATATTACACATTCGAACACCGTGGATGTCGTGGCAGTGTCGTAGCGCGTCCTCCATCACAACTCCCTACTCCCGCACACACACACAATCATTCCCCCACCGTATACCGTCACACTTCTCAGGGCATCTCTGTGCACATATTCTGCTTTTATGCGTCTTCGTACACTATAAATTATTATATTATCCATCACAAACACTTATCCTCTTTCAGATAAAAAAGCATATGTTCATATATAATATTATATTAAAATTTCCAGTTAAACAAGATAGGTGAGATAATATCAGCAATTTAGAGAGAGATAATGTCGTCTTGGGTGGCAGACTATCTTTCGCAAGGCAGCAACAACATGAACAACGGCCATGAAGACGGAGATGAGCAGCTCAAACTTCTCCGACCTGGCTGTGATTCGGCGGCCTCCGACCTTTCGCCGCCGGCTGATGCTTTTCTCAGAGCCGCCGTCTCCCTCAAAGATCAGGTCTCTTTTGACACACTCTGCGCCGACAACTTATTGACGATGTGTTTTCCATTTCAATTT